CATGTCTATTGATGGGGAGCGCCACCTGCTGGAAACTGGGTCCAGCGTCCCATGAACATCGTGAATAAAGGACCAACCGGGACCCCCCACACACACACTCTTCGAGTTGTGTATAGCGAACAGGACAGAACATACATACAGCATAATCACTACCTTACCCTTCCTGAACCACATAAACAAACTAACTACGGGCTGTGCACCCCTGCCCTCACGGTAAGTCAATGATTTGTTCCGTCTTTTTTTCTTTTGTTTTCTCTTTTTCTTTTTTTTGTTCTTTTCTCGTTCTTTTTTTTTTCCGTTTAACAAGAACAAGCATCAATCTAGAGTACTCATTATGAAACGTATATGTTATGTGAGATCAACTCCGTTGTGAGAGCTTGCTTCAGTAGAGAAGGGGGGGAGGGGAGTAGAGGGTTGCCTTGGGGACAGGCGCTGAGGGGTTTTGGAGTGCCAGTCGTGTTTGCCACTCGATTTACACAGCTGGCCATGATAGCGCAGGAGAGGTGGAGGGAAACCGTGGGGATAAGGGAAAGGCAAGGAGTTGGGTGCTGCATAGGGGATGGGCTACGATGAGGGTCGGAAATGTCAGTTCTGCTTGCCAATCTATCGACTTGATTTGCGCAGTTGGACAGTACAGCACAGGGGACTTAGAGGGAAGGTGTTGGGGCTCAGTATCTGTACTCTTCCTCCTAATTTTCCTATTCCACTCCTCTCTATCGGCCTCTGAGGTCTCTTCCGCCTTCCCTCTTGCTCTTGTGGATCGTCACGGGCATTCCTCTCGCTTCACCCATCTCCCGTTCTCCATAGGATCTCATGGCGGATACAACCAGCGTATGCTCACACTAAGACCGTCTCAACTATATCTGATTGTATTATGTTCTTCCTCCGAACGTAGCGCCTCATCAGCGTGAATGTACACAGGTTGTATGCGCCGCTTCAACACAGTCATGATGATAGGGCATTATATTGTGTTTGGGGAAGAACTTCGAAGAAGGTATTCCCTTATTCAGCAGTCCATCCGGTCCCAGCATGAGTATTTTCAACTGTTTTGCTTGTTGTCTGGCCTTCTTGTTGGCCAACCGTCCCTTCCCCCCCCCTCCACATAGCTCACGTCACCACCACACTGAGCGCTTGTTGTTGAACGTCTTGCAATGCCGGTTATATGTTTTTTTTTCCCTTCTTTTTTTTTCCTGGGAGTTGTTCAACTTGTGTTCTTGATATGAGCTCCTGGTCCGAGGTGTGCTGTTTTAGGGGGGGGGGGGACAAGAAAAGGGGTGTGCGGTAATCGAGGGGTGCGTGATTGGGTGTTTTGTAAGGGTTGTGGTCATGTTTTGTATGCGTTACGATCTCATTCAACGCTTTCAGCATTTCATTCCACCGTAGTTGGTTTGCTTGATGCTAATGCTCAGGGCATACTCAGTGTATTTGCCAGCCTTTCCTGGCCAGATGCACTCATTTCATTTCCGTTTCCTGTGCCGTGTAGCGAGGTCCAAAGATTCAGCACAGACTAGCACGGATTGATGGGAGGGACTACAAGTTGTCAAATCGTCACCGGGGGGTTTAACAAATTGTCCGGGTCTTCCCTCGGCGCGAATGCGTGCATCTTCTTTTCCGCATGGCGTTCGTCTATCGATATAATCATGGGAGAGGTAGATAGACAATATGATATCATCGTACAATATGTCATCTCTTATGAGATTAAAATTCAACGCTATTAAATTAGTGCACTTTTTTCCTGGATGTATCTGACAGCAATTCCAGTCGGTCTAAAAAAAGTATCTGACCGCAATTACGTCCGCAGAGATGATATGCCGGTCCAGTCACAAAAAGAAAGGAACCATTATCATGATGGGGACGCGAGGGAGCGATAAGGACAAAGGCGTCCATAGCGGAGGGAAGGGACCGATAAGGGACCGATAATCCCAACCATAATAATCTCCAACCACGATATACATGTATATACATGTACACACATATATTTATCTATATATATGATATTGCTTCGCTGAGATTCAGAGACAATATATCGTCACAAAGATGTCAGAGAGCAAAAGCGAAAAAAACAAAAAAAAATCAATTCATTTTTTATCTTCTTACTTACAGCTCCCCCGTTCAAAACATCTTGCGTACAAGGCCGCCCACGTGGATGATAGGGATAGCGTACAAGGCCCCACCCAAGTGGATGATAGTGATAGCAATTAATAATAGTCCAAACGATCAATCACAGGCAGGCAGAATTGGATCCATAACTATAAAAAAATGATAAAAGATAATAGAAACATAAATTACCTGCGGCCGGTACCAGTTGGATATACAACTCAAGACCATCCCTCTTTCAATAATTACAACCAAAAAAAAAAAGGTTTATTGATCTATTGATTACAAACTTTGCAACACCTGATTGATTGATTGATTGATTGATTGATTGATTGATCGACTGATTGACTGATTGATTAATGTGATTGATCGCCTGACTGACTGATTGAGTGATTGAGTGATTGAGTGATTGAGTGATTGAGTGATTGACTGACTAATTGATTGATTGATTGATTGATTGAGTGAGTGAGTGAGTGAGTGAGCGAGTGAGTGATGAGAGCGAGTGATGAGAGTGAGTGATGAGAGAGTGAGTGAGTGAGTGAGTAGTTAACTGACTGACTGACTGGTGATTGGATTGATTGATCGACTTCTAAATGATCGTTCACCACGGACAGCAATCACCTTTGTTGATTGCTCGATCGATGGATTCCAGATTTGGCAGCAGTTGATTGATTAATATCTTTGTTGATTGATTGACAGATTGGTTCCAGATTCAGCAATACTTGATTACTTGACTGACTAATTTCATTGATTTGATTGATTGGTTCATTCATTCATTCACTCATTCATTGGTTGACTGGCCGCCTCACTGTTGATTGATCCATTCAATAGCTGACTGACTGCCTTTTTTTTTATTGATTGATTTCTTAGCTAACTGATCCCATCTGATTGATTGATTGGTTGGTTGATTGATTAGTTGGCTGATTGGTTGGTTGATTGGTTCGTTGGTTTATTGGTCGGTTGATTATTAACAACGGCCATCAATTTCATCTTTACGCTATTTTCCGCTACTCAATCAATCAATCAATCAATCAATCTCCTCTTATAGCTGCCAAAGAAGACGTGCCCTTCATCTTAAGATTGACATTGGGCTGCGCTCGGTGTATGAGCACGAAGACGAGAAAGATAACGGACGAGAGGAGAGGAGAAGAGAGGAGAGTAGTTAAAAAACACCTACCGTCAGACACCAGAAGAATATAATCGCGGCGACAAATGGAAAAAAATAAAAAAGAGAATGCAACAGCGAAGAAGCAATTGCCAAATTGATTCCAAACACGAACTTATTTACTATACGTTCCTTCCCGCAATTGCGGCGTTTTTTTAACAGAAGAAATCGTGAGGTCTTTTAGTAGTGCCGATAAACCCGTAAGCCCTGACAATTTCAGCCTTAAAAAAAAAAAAAAAAGTTAAATGCCCCAAGGGGGGGGTTATACATCAGCAAAGCGATGCGATGTTATTAGAGAAGCGACGTTGGCCGTGTGTCGCCAACAACACGTGCTGGTCCACATGAACGACATAGGAAGGAACCATTATGACTACCATTCTTCCCCCGAATACAACGTACGGCCATTATAGCTATATGTAGACTGAAAGATACCCCAAATACAGCGATAATGACCGTACGTTGTATTCGGGGGAAGCAGGGTAGCTTACCCGTTGCGGCTTCGCCCACAAACACAGAAATGAAGGCCAAGTAAAAAAAACACAGCACAAGCAATCTGAGAACCTATCCCCGCTTCCTCTCTCTCTCTCTCTCTCTCTCTCTCTCTCTCTCTCTCTCTCTCTCTCTCCCCCCCCCCCTTTTCGTATCTCTGTGTACGTGTGCGCCGAAAGTCCCTATACGAACGCAAAACGGTTACTCATTGTCAAAAATCGTCATCATCACTGTGTACGACCACGATCCCGACAATCACCATGTCCGTTTTCTTTTTTTTTCTTTTTTTTAATCAAAAAGAGTTAGCTCATTTGATTACGCACACCAAAAGAGAGTCCGGGAATCTGAACAAACAACTCGGAGAGATATACAGAAAATGAAAAAAATAGTATACTCGGACATTTACCCAGCTTAGGAGTAGGTGTCGAGGTGAAATCCAGAGACAGAAATGGCCAAAAGCAGACCATTGTCCTGCTACACCCCGACCCTAAAAAGAAGAGATGGCTCAGGCCTGAAACGACCTCCAAAACCAGAATGTCCGTGTTTCAGCTGCCATCATCATACTGGTATATTACTATTATGATATCATAATGATAATATCACATAATCTGCGGTGATCCTCATTCTCGTCGCCGTAGTTCCTCCAAGCAGGACGCCGGGGGTCCGTCCCCGCACGACGATAATCATCATAATCGTCACGTATAATCATATGACGCTGATCTGCAACATGGATGCTTTCTTTTCTACTCACGCCATCGACCTCTCTCTCTCTCTCTCTCTCTCTCTCTCTCTCTCTCTCTCTCTCTCTCTCT